TGCCAATATCTCTACACAACATCTCAAATTCATTGGAAAGATATTCACGCCCTTGATCACTTCTTAATGTTTTAATTGAAAAATCGGAATTTTTTTCAACTTGGGCCTTGAAATCTTTGAAAGCTTGAAATGATTGAGATTTTTCTTTGAGAAGATATACCCAATTTTTTCTAGTGAAGTCATTAATAAATAGGAGAAAATATCTATTACCTCAAAGAGATGGAATCAGCAATGGACCACACAAATCTGTATGAATAAGCTCCAATGGATGCTTAGCACGCCACAAGGATTGTGAAGGAAATGGATCTCTATGTTGTTTTCCAAGCATGCATTCTTCACAAATTCCATCTATACTTTCAATTTGAGGCAGTCCTTCCACCATTTTCTTTGACGCCAACAATTTCAAACTTCCAAAATTTAAGTGTCCAAACCTGTCATGCCACAACTTGGAGTCTCCTTTCTCAACATTAGTGAAACAAGAAATATTAGCAATTTGGAGCTTGAGAGGAAAAAGATTGTTAGCCGCCATCCCAATTTTAGCAACAAGTTGATTGTTTTTTGTCATGATGCATGCATTCTCATGAAAATGAATATCATATCCTTTCCGCAAAAGATGACTGGTGCTAAGTAAATTACCTTTTAAGCAGGGCACATAATAAACTTTCGACATTTTCTCAATTTTGCCAGAATTTGTTTTGAATGAAACTTCTCCAAAGCCTTTAATTTTGTAAGCTCTGGCATCTCCAATTGTTACTTGGCCATGATACACTTCAATCAAATTTGAAAATAGATTTTTGTTGCCGGTCATGTGCTTGCTAGCACCACTATCTAAGTACCATACATCATCAGTATTATCACCATGACATGCAATCAACAAAGTTTCATGAGAGTCATTTTCATGGAAATCAGACTTGTTTTCATGCATAAAATGTGATACCCCTCGGATCCGAGACACGGGTTGATCAGGCCCAGGCCCAAACCCGAGGGAATATCAAACAATTAAAGTATTTTAAATCGAACACGGAATACAAAATTGTTTAAGAAATAAAAATTTAAAAGCTGAAAGGAACTAGAAATAAATATCTTCCAAATATAATTATAAAAATCCAAGCTTCAAAACCTCTGTAAGTTTACAACTCGGGAATCCATCTATTGGACCCCTTATAAAATTCTCAAATAGGAGTTTAAATCATAAAAATAAATTCAACAGCTAACATAGAGAAGATTCCTACATAGTCGGAGGAATGAATATCTGTATCTGCTCTGCACGTCCAAGTTCTAACCCTGGAACTGACGAATACCTGAAAAATAAAGGAGTGGGTCAGGCCCACATGCAAGTCCTGATCTACTACAATCCAAACAGTAATCCGATACGCAGATACATCCTAGGAAGACTCAACAATATCTAGAGTAGTCCAGATATGTATATAGTGCACACTAATAGGACGCTCGATAGTCCAATAGGTTTGTCTCAGCCTGAATAGAAGGCAACATGCAAATACGCACCCTAAGGTGGGCATGAGTACCTAGACCTACCAGGGAACAATACCTATGTCTAGTTATCCATCCCAAGTGATATACGCTCCCTAACCAACGACTCTGAGACTCATGCCCATATCGTGGTGCCATAACATATATATAAAGTCCGTCTAACCCAAGGTATGCCATTTTATTGTTTATTGAATTGACATAAGAATTTTAATCCAGTTTAGTCATTCAACTTAATCAGTCGATCTAACTTAAACACAACCAACATTTAATCCAGGTAGTCATTCAACTTAATCAGTCGATCCGACTACACATAAACACAATTAATCCAGATAGTCTTTCAACTTAATCAGTCGATTTGACTAAACAAGGTTTAGGATTCAATATTTTACAATCATTCCCTTAAATCCAATAGGTTAGGTTTATGCATTTTGAGCTAAACCATTCCTAGTATGACACCGTCCCATACCGGTCCATATACATCCATATAAGCAGGACTTAACCTCTTTATGGTTAATCCAACTCATTCCAAATTAGGTAGGATTTAGTGCTTGAACTAATCCATACCTAGTATGTCACCGTCCCATACCGGTATATACAATCCTTCAATTAACATAGTCGATAAAACAGTAATAGATGCAAACCAACTATACTCCAGAATAAGCATTTAATATAACCTATCAAGTTTAGGATCAAATTATGCACACAATATAAAGTTTAGAAATCGTAAACCAATTCCTTTAAGCTGATAAAAATTTACTGAGCATTTAACTCCTCCAAACTGCGTAGTTAATTGAACCACACTATATAATCAACATCCATCCTCCAAAATATGTATCATTATAATTTGATACATATATATCAATAATAAGCATTCATTATAGAGCCTAAACAAAATCAATATTTCAATAATGTAATCTGCAAAATAAGTATAAGCATTCACATCCTCCAAGTTGTCCGTATCTGCCGTAGTTGAATAACAAAGTGAAAATTAACTTGATTCAACACAAATTCAGTTAAATTTAAGTAATTAATGTTACTTATAATCCTATTTATATATGTTTAACCCTAATTAAATCATATACAAACGATACTCTAAATTCTCTAGTGTAAACAGTTTAATATTCAAGGTGCAACCGGTAAATTCCTTGCCTAACTGTGCATTGTCCAATCCTTAATTAAATTATGAATTTATGTTTCTCTATTGTTTAATGGATCTACAACATTTGTATCCATCCATTAATTCAATTTAAACCGTTTAAAACACCCTACGCAGCCAAACAGTGCACTAAACCAAAACTGAGCGCATCCGGGTGAGAGCACTGCTCAAATTGCCTCAAGAGCCGGCTCTGGACTATTGGAGCCGGCTCCAAAATAGCCAGGAGCCGGCTCCAAAGGCTTAGAGGCGGCTCCTAGGTTTTCTGGAGCCTGCTCTTGCTTCTTTGGACACCGTTATCTGTTCTTGCTTCATCTTCTTCGACTCCGGTAGCTAACAGAGCCTCTGGAATGTTTTAATCAGTTGTTCTAGGGTCCAATCAAAGTTATAGATTAATCCTAACCCACTGATATGCAACCATGATTTGAACTAGACTCAAGTTTGGAAGCCACAATTACATAACGTTCAAATAGCAACCTTAAGCAACTTACAACAGATTTATTTTGTAAAAATCAAAACTGTTTTAAGATCTTGTTCCAGGCTTTAAACTCACTCCTAGATTAGTTACAAAGCATCCCACATATAATTTACAACCTTAGTTTACAACAACCTAAATCACAACTATAGAAAAACAGATTAATAGAGAAGCAGAAATAGGCAAAACAATTATCTTACGAGTATTTAAACTAGATTCTTATATGCATAAATCCATGATATTATGTTTGTTTATAATTGTTTTAGCCTTTATTAAGTCCCTGAAGTCCTCATAGGCATGCACAGAACACAGATTAAAGAGATAGAGCAGAATAGAAACTTGCCTCTGATTTCCGATTGAAAATCCAAAACTGTTGTCTCTAGCAACTTCGGCAATGTCAATAGTTGTTATCAACCTCTGCCACTCCTAGTTAAATCCAGAACTCCTCCTTGATTCCCTACCTTACTCTCTTAAAGTTCTCTCTGTATTCCCTCTGTATCCTTATGTACGTGAATATAGTGAATATGGTTTACAGGAAACCCTAGCAGACGTATACTCATGTATTTATAGGCTTAAGTTGAAACCCTAATTTAAATCCTAAACCAAACCCTAAATTAAATCCTAAACCAACTATATGTCGGCTCCAATCCTAAACACGATGTAAAACATAAAACCCTAATTACCAAAACAGTGCATTTACATAAACACGTAAAGAAACAAACCCAAATATAATTTAAGCAATTAATTAAAGAAAACACAATTTAAAACAATTAATGAAAGAAAAACACATTTAAGTTAATTAAAAATAAAACAAATCAAATGAGCAAATAATTAATTAATTAAAATAAGCAAATAATCAATTAATTAAATAAAAATAATTATATTAAATTACAAGATTGTCCTTTTAAAATTAGGGGTATTACATAAAACCAGTCTCATTTTTTTCAGCTTGTTTGTACCAACATTCACTAATTTTGTGACCAGGTTTATGGCAATGAAAACATTCAACATAGCCTTTTCTTCCTTGGTAAAAACCACGGCCTCTTCCTCTTTGTGAAAAATTTGTGTGTTGATTTTTCTCATCTTCTTTTGAAAAAATTTCATTTTTTGAAAGAGCTCTTCCTTTTCCACGAAAATTAGAAACTCTTTCTCGGAAATTTCCACTCCTTCCACGGCCTCGACCATGGTTGTAACCACGGCCTCCCGTAATTGAAACTTGAGATTTAAGAGCTTGGTCAAGAGAAGGAGGAGGAGGATTTCTTTGATTGATCCGAATTTCATGAGCCTTTAAAGTTCCCAATAAATCATCTAGAGAAAGACAAGAGAGATCTCTAGATTCTTCAATGGCAACTACAACATAATCAAAATTTTAAGGCAAGCTGCGAAGAAGTTTTTCAACCACTCTTTCATCTTCTAAAATTTCTCCATTAGAAGCCATTTGATTTACTATAGATGTAACATTTGTAAAATAGTCGGAAATAGATGAATTCTCCTTCATTTCTAACTTCTCAAATTCCGATCTTAAGGTTTGAAGATGTACCTTTTTCACTTTTTCCTCACCTTTGTATGCCGCTTGTATAATCTCCCAAGCTTGCTTGGATTTGGTGGCTTTTGCAATTCTTTCGTAGATCGGCATTTCAATTGTTTGGTAGATTGTGAAAAGTGGCTTGCTATCCTTTTCTCGCTTCTCATTCAAAACATTCTTTTGCGCTTGAGTTAAATCATCTTCATTTTCGGGTTCATCAAAACCCTCTTTAATAACATTTCATAATTTCATTGATTTGAGCAGCACCTTTACATTGTTGCTCCAATAATCATAATTGTCTCCATTGAAGCAAGGAATAAGAGAAGCCCAATTGCTTGTATTTGCCATGAAATAATTCTGAAATTTTTTCTGCTACCTTCTTCTTTAAAATTGGCTCTGATACCAATTTGTAGGAGGCACTCAATATGAAGAAGGAGAACACACACAACTTTTATATAAAACTCTCCATTCTGATATATTTTCTTTCCCACTTCTTGCTTACAAAGAACTTAAAAACATGTATTTATCGGCACCAATACATGACTTTAGAAAGACACAAATTACAAGGCAATAAATAAAACAATAAGTTTAACACAAGTGTTTCATCTCCCAATGATATAGTGCATGTATTCCACACATGAGTTGGTTCATGTATTTAACACTTGAGTTAGTTTATGTATTTGGTTTATTTTTCCAACAGTCCTGTTTCAAATTTCTTCACCTTCCTTTTTGGCATCTAATTCGCCTCCCATTGTTTTATTCTTTCTCCAGCTATCAAAGCCTGCATTTGCCAACGGTTTAAAAATTGTTAGTTTAATCAATGGGTAAATTACCCGAACTTCCCTTGAGGGTTTGCCTAACGACAGTTGAAACTATTTGAAAAAGTATGGTGAACAATCCTTGAGGTTTGACATAACACCTCTAGTTTAGTTGATTGATAAATTCGTCAACGAAATATGTAAGAAATGCCAAAACTACTCTTACCATAAATATAATTACTTAAATGACCCTATTAATATGCTTTAACAAAGTACCCTTGATATATACATTATAGATATGTTTGTGGTGGGGTTTACTTTTAGTTATATCTTGAGGGTAGGACAGTAATTTTGAGAGGGTGATACAAACCCATGATTACAAGTAGTACTGGAACTAGAGATAGAAAATGTGAGTACAATACTATATGGACATGGAGAATCGGTTAGTGAGAAGATTGCAGAGGTTTCACTTCCAAGACAAAAAACCAGTGGGTGAAGATTGTAATATTTGTTTGTGTATATATATGTGTGTGTGTGTGCTATAAGTTGTACAAAGCAAGAAGAGAATGTTAGAGCCCAAAAATGACAAGGGAAATTTTGTCTTTTCAATTTTTTTAGTGCTTATGTCAGCATGACATACACAATGGTTGTACTAAAGACATGGACATTTTAGTAATTTAACCACTACCGTTAACCAATTAATGACTTTAATTTCACTAGACACGGTGTGTGATATTTTTCAAATAGTTTCATTCAAAGGTAATTTGGATAAACCTTGAGGGAGGTTGTAACGATCTACTCCACCACATGGTATGATATTGTCCGCTTTGGGCCTAAGCCCGCACAGTTTTGCTCTTGGGTTTCATTCTAAAAGGCCTCATACCAATTGGAGATGACACACTTACATATCAGCACTTCACCTTTCCTCTACCCAGGCGATGTGGGACTGTACACCCGTAGCTCGCCAGTGTGGTAGTTTGACAATGTCTCTCGCACCCACCCATAGCACACCAGCCCACAAGGTCATCACAATCCACCCCCCTTGGAGGCCTGACGTCCCCGTCGGCACACTTCCGGTTGGGTCAGGTTCTGATACCATTTGTAACGACCCATTCCACCACATGGAATGATATTGTCCGCTTTGGGCCTGAGCTCGCACGGTTTTGCTCTCGTGCTTCATCCCAAAATGCCTCATACCAATTGGAGATGACACATTTACATATAAGTATTTCAGCTTTCCTCTACCCAGGCGATGTGGGACTGTGCACCCGTAGCTCCCCAGTGTAGTAGCTTAACAGTGTCTCTCGCACCCGCTTACAGCACACCCGCCCACAAGGTCATCACAGAGGTTTTCATAAATCATTGGCTGGTGACTAGCTTTTGTAAACTATTTATGAAGTCTGCTTTATGTACTTACCTCTTTCTTCCAGTTTGTTCTGTATATCAACCAGAACAAGAAGCAGGTCTGTAGGCCTGTTCCTGACAGCATCCCATACCATATGCCCTGAAAATGATCAACCATAAACAATTTTTAGGAAGTATTTTGATTAATGTGTATAATTAGGCCAAATGGCAATAGCACAACTGGTACAAACCCACATCTCCAAAGGGGAGGTCGGGAGTTCGAGCCTCAGTGGAGGCACGAGTATGTGAGTTAGCATTTTGAAATTTGGAGTTTAGGATGGGAAAACTTGTACCCGGACACCCATGCCGAACTTGTATCCCGTTAGGAGGCCAAAAGGAATACCGAATAGATAGTAGCACCCAATGTTCACATATGCAACAATAGCTTGCCATCCTGCCCCTATTGCCACTCCTGCAACAATACTTTCACTTATAAGTCTTTTGCTTATATTCCCGAAAATGTAGTATGAAGATATATAATCGAGAAATAGTTCAACTATTTACCAGAAAGAGCAGGTTGAATATTGTTAATGACAATGCTGACTCCTAACAATGGTGTGAGCTCGATTACAAGTTGTTTTACTTCTGCATTATTCGAAAATAAAGCCGGGTACTGCCTCCGGTTGATGATCAGAATGAGCGCGAGCAAGAGACCAAACAAAACCGAGGTTACCGAGACCACCACTACAGAGAATTTCGCGCTTCTTGGATGTGCTGTCCCTAGTTCATTTGACACTCTCACACTGCACATTGGATCAAATTACACATTTCTCTTGTTATTTTGTTTAATTTGATGTGTTTGATGCTAAGATTCAAGGAGGTTCGGTTTTGTTACACAACCTTGTGGCTGCATTGAATCCGAAAGCTACCATGATTGCCCATCCCAGTATGTTCATGCTGCAAATTTCATAAAACATTTGTGAAACTTGTACTAGTTACCCAACTCGTGTGGAAGGGACGCCTTGTTTAGAGTCTGGGCAAAGCCCGGATACCCCTGTTACCTTAAAAAAACAGAAAAGAAAAAAAGACTTGTTCTGCCATAATCAAGCTAGAGTGACCAAATATAGGGAATTAGTATATTACTCCTGTACCAGTGTAATTTAAATTTGTATTTACACATCAATTAAACTGCTCCAAGCTGGACATATTGTATGCGTGTCTATAGACACACACACACACACACACACACACACGAATATATCTGCTCACCATATGGACAAGGCATCCACAGAAACTTCTGCGTTCTTAAGATACCCGGCAAAGAGAATCAGCGCATAAAAATACCAAAATTCTAAGCTGCAAAATTTTGGAAGAGGTATGGATTAAAAATCTAAGTGATTGAATAATAAATATTTAAAGGGAACGCATCAGTTAATTAAAAATAGGATTTCAGCGTCCTAGGTGATTAGAATTCATTATCTAAGTGATTGAATAAAAACAAATAATAAAAAATATATCTACATCAAACCCCCGAGTGTTTGGTGATTAGAATTCATTATCATGGGTCTGCGTATCTTCAAAATTATTACACAATCACAGAACTGGAACACGGCCACGTGAAACAACTGGATGGGTTATGTAAAATAAAAAATGCCTTTTCCTTCCAATTTTTTTATATTGTTGTACTTTGCTGTCTTCTCTATTCTGACTTTTGAAAATGCTAGAAAATGTAACCCCCATTTACTACTTCAAAATTTATGGGCACTAGTTCTGATGACATAAGCCAAGGCGCATAAAGCAGTGTAAAAACGAATTTAAGAGCAAAAGTGTGAGAACGATCAAATTGAATAAGAACGACAACGTTTTAGGAGTGCAAAAACAGTACCTGTTGAAAAGTATCAGGTGACTTAACGTATAAATTTTTTTCCTCAAATTCAGAAATAAAATGTTGGAGTCTCGGTGGACTCATAATATACTAAAAAGAACCACATTAGAGAACAAATCAATGATGGAAGACCAAGGAGCTAAGAAAGTACGGACGTTCTTAAGAATTAGTTGTTCGCGGGTTGAACACCACAAACTATGGATATGCGTTTAATACTTTATAAACATGTTCATAATTTTAAAATAATTTTTATTAATTTGATTAATCACATCCTACTCTCTCAGACAGTTAGTCTTATAGAGCACAAACACAATATTAATCTTGAAAACAATACAAATAAGATTTAAAGGGTGCAACGCCAAATTTTACACTATATACATGTCATAATATGCAATGACACTTATCATAATATACATGTCATAAAAATAAAAAATAAATTAGGCCACTGTCAAGCAACAGTTGGCCTAGCAAAGCTCAAATTTCTAAAGGTTCTAGTTCTTGGGTCCAGTGGCTATTAATAGGCACGTCAAAGATACTATGCATTTTAAATAAATAAAAAATATTCATATTTCAAAATGTGATAGTGCTACACCTATCAATGAATTAGATTTTTGATCTGAAATCAATTCAAATACGGTTTGATAACTTTGATATGAATTAAAATATTTATTTCAATAATTCGTTAATGATCCAAATTTCAATAATTCCTTTAGTTAACAAATTAGATATAATTTATATTCAATTTGATCTCATAACAATTCGATCCGACAAAGTATTATATACAATATATAATACATTATAAATATATATATAATGTATATATAATTTTATACGTGATAAAATCTATATGTTTATATTCAATTCGACCAAATATTATATATAATATATAATGCGTTATAAATATATATAATACTATATATATAATTCTATACGTGATAAAATCTTATGTTTCATGTATAGAATTAAAATTTTTAGTTATTTCAGTTTTTTTCATTTTTTGAAATTATATCTAGATCTTTATTATTTTTTCTGTTTTATAACAATCAAAAACCCTGATCTTTTTTCTTTTTTCTTGTTCATATTTTTCTAGTTTTATCTTTCTTTCTCTCACTTTTTGTGGTTTATATTTTGAAAATTTTCATAAAAATTACAAATGTTAACAAATCAGGTTATCAAATCAAATATTCCCGAATATGGATGAAATAAACATAATCTATTAGGTTATTGGATTGGAGTTTATCGGTTCGGAACCGACTAGATGTAATGTAATATACTTTTGATATAAATGCAAAATAAAAAAATAAGAATTTTTTTTTACAAGAGAGAATTAATTAAAATCCTTGATCCCAAGCAATTTGAAAGAGACATTTTCTTATTTATCCGTTGCATTTGTAGCATAAGTAGATGGGACTCGACTTATGCCACTGCCACCGCCAAGATTATAATTTTATTGTGGTCTAACTTTTTATTTTTTATTTTAGTCACATTTAGATCATGGTCGAAAAGAAACATTTATTAGAATTGACCTCAACAAATAAGTTAGATAGGCAGATATTACTATATTATGGAGCACGCTTGTATCTTGCAACTTTTCTCTTACGAGGAAATTGAGATATTTGTTAGTCCAAAAGAAAATGAGTTCAAAAAGTTTATAATTGAATAATATTTCAAACATATTCTAAAAAATTAATCGATACGGATCATGTATCAGACTTGAAAAAAGATAACGTATGGTAAACCATCTATTATCCATTTGATTATAAAGAATTTTTTTTCTAAAAAACCAAATATGAACATCATCTTCTTGCAAATTTGTACATTAATAAAATTAAATTTTCACCAGCCACATGTTTGGTTTACTAGAAAGTGGAAATTTGTATTGCATCATTTTCCTTCTCTATCTCCTTGATTGCTCAAAGAAAGTGACATTAAAGCAAGCAAAGAACATGCCTAACAAATTATTAGATCAATGGCCCTGGTCCTCCTCCTGCAGGACCATAAGCAAGGCAACGCCAGCTAGAACCATTGAAAGGAAATATTATGTGAAATTACTTATTAGAGAAAACCAACATGGATAATTACAACCTCCATATAAAGTATCTTGCTTGCCTACTATATTAGTCAAACCACGTGTTACTCAAATCAAAACTCATGTTCAAATTTATTTATAATTTTTTATTTACTTTTTTTGGTTCCACAGTTTTTTATTATTATTGAAATTTTCTTAATTGAACTGGTATATGTCACATTATGAAAGACTATCTAATAAATATATTTTTTATAGAGATAATTTATGTTCTAAGTTAAACAATTCTTTTTAATAAGCGTGACTTGTTTTTACACTACATGTGCTCCCAATCTTGCTCTCATTCTCACTACCTAACTTAAATTTGATTGTTTTTGCCCTCTCAGCTTTGTGTCATTTAACATGTGTTACCAATTTGACAATTTTTTTTTTTTTTTTTTTTTTTGTTCTTCAATTATGTCATTGCACGCATAATATAATTATTTACACACACTATGTATTGTAGAATCATGCAACTTGCCGACGTCCACTGAGCAGCGTTGCACAACATGATAGTTGATGGAGTTGGCCAAGTAATTATTTCATTGTCTTTTTCGTTTTTTAGTAAAATAAATAAATAAATGGTTTTTTTTATTATTTTTTATTTCGTTTTCCCCCGCTTGTCCTTTTAATTTGTCCCCATAATTTTACCCCTCTTTCTTTTCTTTTAGGACCAGTGGACCACCATCTTTTTCAATCAAATGTTTTTTTCTCTCTCACCCACCCACTCTTTCCGATCATAAATGGCTCTCCTCAATCAATTTTATTTATTTTTTCCTTCTTCTCTCTCAACCACAAACTCTTTCCAGACGTAAATGGCTCTCCTTCTACTTTCATTCTTCCTTTTTAATGTTATCCTTCTTTCCTTTTTGCCCATTCTTTTTTCCTTCCCCCACAACTGGGGCTGTAATGCTGGCAAGTTGGAGGTATAGGTCAAGCTCAACTCTATTCTTACCTTCAACTCTAACTACTCAGTTGGAGCTTAACTCATCCTTCTACTTTTCTCTAATTTGCAACTCGTGCTTAGATTTTGGGTTAAGAAATCAGGCTAATTCATGTTAGCAAATCGGGTTAATTCGAGTTACCCATATAGCGAATCTTCATACTGAAAATTTAATGTGATATTGAGTTAGTTTTCGATTAATTACTCTTAAACAAAAAAAAATTTAAAAACGTATTGCAAATTTTTAATAAATTACAAATTAATTCTTAGAAAATTAATTCTCCTAAATACTAACATATAATAAATTAAGATTTAACAAATGAAACTGAAAAGAAAAAAAGCTGATCATAATTTCAATATTATATATAAAGCATTTAAAATAAACATAATATATATATATATATATAATATTAGAATTCTAGTTTTGTTGCTAGCACCTCAACCCCATCAATCCAAGCCTAACTCTAATTAAGTTCGGGTTGAGATTTTTCAACCCAGACCCAATCCTACTTATAAAAATTATTGCCCAAGCTCGCGAAAAGTTGATCTGGGCTCAGGTTGGATTCGGGTTGCCCAACTCAAGTTGCCCCCTTACCCACGACACCAGAATATATTGGGTGAGCTAGACATACCATGTTATTGATATACCCACCTAATAAATATGCGCCACTTTAGTTGGTTGGGAGTAGTTTTTATGTATATGTGAGATCACTTTTGATTGAATTGTGAAGATGGACAGACCAATGACATGGCATGCTTGGCTCACCTAATATTTACATAACACACGTGCACACATACATCTTTTTCATGGTTGTGTCGTATAATAATCATATTCTGAAATGGCCTCAGGCTTAGTTATCGGTGGGGAAACAAAAAAAAAAAAAGATTATTTGAGTTGAATTAATTTGGGGTGATTGACCAACAGGTCAGTGACCTAGCGGTAGTAAGCTCCTATTTTTCAAAGAAATGTTAGAAATTCGAGCTTTAGTGAAGATATGTGTGTATTAGTACCAACTAGAAAAAAAAAAAAAATTGAGGGTGATTGAATTGTTGCAGGGGTGGCCATACGAGCAGGATGGCAAGCACTTGTTGCATATGTGAACATTGGGTGCTACTATGTGTTTGGTGTCCCTGTGGGTCTCATCATGGGTTACAAACTTAACATGGGCATCAAGGTAAATAACACCTTCTCTCCACTCGAATTATTAATTAATATATGGTTTCTATTATTCTACTTTTGAATTCTTTTATTATATATAAAAAATAAGAATACAATTAAAACACAAAGATTTACTTGTTCCACCAGATTGAAATTTCAAGAAGAGCAAAATAAATTACAAGCACATAATAATAAAAAATTGCTTCCATCATGCTCCTATAGAACTATAATTACATAATAAGTGCAAGAATATCATAAAAAAATAAAAAATTAAAACTCTTGGAGGAATTCGAATAAGGAACACGCCCCCAAATATCCCCCTTAGGAATAGATATTGGGTGTGTCAAGTGCATGGTGTACTAGTTCATCCTAGCCGTACGTGCATAACACACGCTCGCGCGTTCACAACACGTATGGCTCAGATAAATCTGATGCACAATGCGCCAGGTATACCCAATAACTTCTCCACCTTAGGGTGTACCCAATACCTTCTCCACCTTAGGACAGAACGACACGACCCATAAACTAAGCATATGTGATAACTGATAAGGTGTACACTACTATCGACTCCACGCTCTCTACATATAATTACTAAAATCGTACCCAATTGCTTAAAGTGGACACATGTTAAAGATTTACCTAAAAATCTTACACCTTTATTCTTATTTTAACACTGATTTTGATTTCTCACTTCTCCATCCTGAATAAATTTTGCTCCAAATGCCACATTTAAAATGGTCAATTTGGACCTGTCCTGCTTAGACAACGACCTCGCATGTTATCACCTTGTGACTTTGCATGTTACCATACAACATACAAATGTGGAAAATTACAAAATTCAGTACGTAAAAGATGTTATTGTTCTTGCTCCACTTGGAAACATCTTCATATATGTTGGCATATAACACACACATACACACACACACAAAGAGTACATCCCATTTTCAAGATAACCTAAAGCTTAAGCACATGAATTATTTTATTTTTTTTTGTCATTTGTGATTTTGACCTTTGAAACCCTAGGTTTTAGGGTTTTGAGC